TGTGTAATGTCGGGAATCGGCGGGCATATAGAAAAGTTCCAAAGCAGTGTTGTAATGCTCAAAATTTGCACTGTTTATGGCATGGAAATCTTCATAAGAGCGCAAACCAAACCAGTAATCACCAATGATTTTCATCGGTGAAACTATCAAAGGAAGATAAACTTCCTGCAGCTAAACGAGCTATGCATATGCAACCCCAGAGTGCAAGGTGAATATCAAACGCCGCACATACTGGTTGGACTAGATTACTACTATCAATTCGTCTCTCCAAGTAACCAGATTATGAAACTACCGTTTGGGTTGTACCTCGCCCAAGCAATCTTCGGCCCCAGCATACATGGTCGTGGAATCTTATCAACAGAACCTCAAACAAACACATCAAAGACCAACGCTCATCATGGCTTATCTGATGACCTGCAACACGAGAGGCAGAGACGCTCAACAAACTATTCGAATTACAAGGCCTTGGGATTTCGTCAGAAATGGCAAGAGAAGAGAGCACATTCTCATACCTCTAAAACTATTCGAAGAAAATACAGATCCACAATGGGAGTGTCACTGCACCATTACCACTCAAAGACAATGTGGTCGACCTCTCCGACAATTACGCAGTTGCGTTTCGGAGACTAATTTCTCTGTGGGAACATCTACAGACCAACAAAGAACAGCAAAAATGGTACACACAAATCTTCCAATACGCATCTACCAACCTGATCGAAAATGCAAGAGAAGATGTTACCAACTACGTCGGCTGTTACTACATGCCACACTCAGGTGTATGGCGCCCCTCTAAGCAAAAACCACTTCGAATAGTATTCGACGTATCCTCCAGACGCAACCGTCAGCTTTCGCTGAATGATGTCATTCATACCGGAGAATCGTTCGTGGACAAAATTCACGACATTCTAACGGCAAGCCGAACCAAAAAATAATACTCATGTGTGATATTCAGGCAGCATTTACTCAAATAAGGCTGCAAAAAGAACACAAATATCTTCGCAGATTCCTATGGTTCAAAGATCCAAATAAGCCACCAACGCGTGAAAATAAGCGGAGTACCGCTTCACACGCCTACCGCTCGGTCCGACAGCATCTCCTTGCATTCTCAATATGGTTATTTTAGCATATTTAAACCATAAAAACACAGAGATAGCAAAGGAAATCATTGACCATTTATATGTAAATAATATTCTACTTCGAGCAAATACCGTAGAAGAGGCTCAAAGCAGTATTTGCGGAGATTGGCATGAACTTGCGTGAGTACATATCAAACTCGAGCGAAGTCAATGCTGCCATCCCAGAAACCTGCACTACATGGGAAAGTCATAAAACCCTTGGAAGTGGACTACAACACAGAAACAGACGAGTTTCAAGTGAGCACTCGAATAACGCAAAAGGATCGGCTAACGAAACGAGATATTGTTAGCGAACTAAACACAACCTATGATCCTATCGGTTTAATGGGACCGTTGCTCACAAAAATGAAATCATTAATGCGGGAAATATACGACACCGCCATAGAATGGAATGATCCCATACCCTACGAACTATGTCGTAGATGGAACAACGCATATCAGGAAGTCAACAACGTGTCGATAAAAACACCAAGACACATAGTTGGCGTAGACCCGATGACATGGAACACATTCTATGGGTGTTCTGCGCTAGCAAGACAGCTATAGCGGCGTGTGCATATTTGCAAAACAACAAGACTTATGCGATTTCCCAGCTAATAAGTGGAAAAACACGCCTAACGCCGAAAAAGACTGTCCAAACTATACCAAGGTTAGAACTGCTCGGAATTCTCATCGGCATAAGGCTAGCAAAGACACTACAAAGTAAATTGGGAGTGAATATTTCTAATGTCAACATTGCGTCTGACAGCAAAATAGCGCTAGCGTGGTTAAAATCAACGCGCAAACTGCCTCCATTTGTAACCAATCAGAAGAGGCGCATAATTGATACTAAGCAACTAATGGAAGAAGCAAAAAAGACTAGTGTGTGCTTCTACTACATCCCTACACATTATAATCCAGAAGATGCTGGAACAAGAGGCCTCACAGCAAACACAATTGCAAACCATGACTGGGTGAGGGGCCCTCGATGGCTCGAAAAGGACCCAAAACCTACTCCTCTGAGAAGCATAGAAAACATAGAGGAGAACGTTGACATAGTGAATATGGAAGAGAGGACGCAGCCGAGCATGATCACTTCACATACGGTCGTTACCACACCTCATCAACCGTTGATTGACACCACTCGGTTTTCGAGGTGTAGGAAAAACTCTATCCAACGTCGATGCAATATAAACAGGGCTGCTCCCGTCGTCTATAAGAGTCTCACAAGTTCGGATGACATAGCGGCTGCAGTAACACTGCTGTTCGCCTCAGAATATCGCAAAAAAAACATAGAAGGATTGCGGAAACGCTTTCCCAACATGAGTATAATTCGGGATCAAAATGAGATAATTCGATATGAATCTAGAATCCGCAATGCGATATTACCTCACGACACAAAACCGCCTATCTACATATCAAACGATTCGGATCTGGCTCGCCTGATAATAGAGCATACTCATCAAGCAAATGCTCACTGCGGCAAAGACCACCTCCTTGCACGGCAAAGGTTTTGGATCCCGCAGCCATCAAGAGCAATCAAAAAATGTTGAAAAACTGATTTGCAGGCGATGTCACGGGCTTCCGTTCGGAGCACCAGACATGCCACCGCTACCCAAAGACAGAGTCGTGGTAGCAAAGCCGTTCCAAAACGTCGGCTGCGACTTCTTGCGTCCATACGACTCAAAGGAACAGGAAAAGATGTATGTGTGCCTATACACGTGTCTCACAACGAGAGCTATACATCTGGAAGTTGTCGAGAACATGACAGCACTTGCCTTTCTTAACAGCTTTGTCCGCTTCGTGTCAAGAAGAGGTGTTCCAGAACTGATACGCACCGACTGCGGCTTAAATTTCAAGCTCGGAAAAACAGTTATTGACAACCTCTTTCGGAACAACGACACAACCAATCAATCAGTCATGTCATATAGCTCTACCGAAGGCATAAAATGGATTTTCAATCACCCATGTGCCCCGTGGATAGGCGGAGTATGGGAACGGTTAGACGGCTCAGTAAAAAGAGGCTTTTCGAAAGCGATTGGATGCAAAAAGCTAACGTTCATGAAATGACCAAAGCAATCGCACGAATTGAGGCGATCTTAAATACGCGACCGCTTACCAAAATTAGTCTTACGGACATTGACGAAATTCCGCTACGTCCAGTAGACTTTCTACAAGGAAACCTCAAATTTCACTACCAGGTGCACATCAAACCTTTGACAGATCTGACTACGATGTCGATCCAGAGCTCATCCGGTCAGTATCACAAGCTAAAGAGGCAATTGCATCTGCCGAAACGATATCAATCAAGTTTTGGGAAAAGTAGAATACGGACTACCTCACTGCCTTGAGGGACAGCCACACGAAAAATCTCAATCAACCGAGACATGTCTCCAAATTCCCTCAAATAAGAGAAATTGTGATAGTAGAACAAGAATCACTACCTAGAGGCAACTGGCTTCATGGTAGAATAAAAGAGCTTGTAAGGAGCGCCGACGGCATGATTAGATCCGCCAAACTCAGCATGCCCAACCATACAGAACTGCACAGGCCTCTCAACAAAATATATCCTCTTGAAATTCGATCGTATGACGAAGCAGTAGGGGAAGGCCCAGAAGTAGAACCGGCCGCTACACAATCTAGACTGGAAGAAGTGGTTGATAAGGTAGAAGGCCCCGCAGAACCAACTGATCTGCCAATAGCTCCTCGGAGAAACCAAGAAAGGGCATCGAAAACTCGAGCCTATGAGGTGATACGAGACTTCGAAAGAGATCTTGATGACCGTTCCACCCAGTCAAGTACGTACTGTTCAAAGTGGACAACGCTTGCAATCCTACTGTGCGTAATAAGTACAGCGTCGGCAAATAACAAACTTATATGTACCGACGGATCAGCGATCGTCAATATCCAAGATGCAAGTTTTGAACTTTGCTTCAACAATGAATGCAGAACCTTCATAAACATGGCGAGGAAACTAGTCCTTAAAGTACCAGCTTCTCCACTTCATAAGCTCGCTACGGTGTCAACTAGAATCCTAAAAACGAACGCCACCGAAACTGTAGAATGTCCTCCCATGCATTCTGCGAACATGAACAGCAAACTCATGACGAGCTCTCTAATAGGCAACCCACACTGTTGGCCTATTGGGCAATAGCTACTATTGCTATAATAATATACATATGATCCTTGGAACCACCATATTAATGAGCGCAAGGATCCTAAAGCAACTGGTAGCCACTCACCACAACAATACAGGCACTGCTCAAGAAATCGTTGTCATAAACTCCTTCAATCCAAGACCGCTGAGCGTCTCCACAAGAGTGACAACAATGGTGGTTCTCCTTGCCATATTTAGCAGCTTACAAGCCTGTCAACACGGGTACATGAGACACACTGCAGATCTGATCTGCAACAATGAAGGGAACTGCTCTTACGAGTATAATCAAGAAGTCTCTTCAACCACATCCAATCGGAACTCTGTATCAACGCCAGATACGAAAACAGAACGACTGGAATGACAAAAATCCGACAAAAACCACTCAAGTTGGTGTGCTCAAAAACACTCCTATTCTTCACACGAGACACGAAGCACAAAATCCTAAACAAAACAAGATGTGCAGAGGCAGGATCCTGCACTCAGAACAGGTGTAATACCTTGGAACCTCATGAAAACGTAGAGGAACTACAGGTAGCCAACAAATATCTGGGATACTCTGCTTGCGAGCATACTTGCGTTGGACTATTATGTGGATGCTTTCTGCCTGTACAAGCGGGTTCATTCATCAGGGTCGCCCAAATACCGATTCGAAATCACTGTATGAGGTCGTCAGTTGCAAAGACTGGACGCCCTTAATCGAATTCGAAGTAGAATTCAAAGTCCATAATATGGAACAACACAGGGAATTCACTCTCATGCCTTACGTCACACAATCACATGAAGAGATAGCTCCCACAGTAATATCAGTTCAGAGACCAACTGCATCCTTATTCGATCAGCGCTTTGCAATCTCACAATAAGAAGCTCTAGTAATTCCTAACAACTTTGAACTACCAGTGCGCTGCCCCACGGTGAACATAGCAGCAAAAACTTTGCCAACTGCAGTAACCAGATAGTATGTAACTGCAATAGCTACAAAACGCCCAATCTTGTCATTGTCCACAACAAGCAATAAGGGACATTCGAGCAGAGGTAGAAAATCGGCTGCTAATATACACTCCATCTGTAGATCTGAGCTATGACAATATGCAGATTTACGCTCACTCCACGAAGAGCGAGGTAACACTTGCCATAAGATCAAGCCTAATGATCAATAGTGCGGAATTCGTCATAGAACAAAATGTTCCGTCGAGCTCACCATCGTGAAGGGTTGCTACAGCTGTCAAGAAGGAGCTGAACTCACAGCATACTGCACTACAGCAGTTGAATCCACCGTCACAATCCAGTGCGAAAACATAGCATTTACGGTGGAGTGCGATCCCTCCAATAGAACATCAAAAATCGCACTACAATTCGATAAATCTCTCATCGCGCAAAAATGCTTTGTGATATGCGATAAGGAGGAACTATCCTTGGAACTGAGAGGACAGTTACACTACCATGTGAGATATTTTCCCGAGAATATGTTCGGGGAAGGGAACACTGCATCCGCAGCATGGCCGTCATTGAAAGGTTTCTATGTTCCAGACCTGTAACCAATAATCCTTTCATTCTATAAACCAGTAACTGTTGTGCTGTCGGTTTGCATGTTTGTATGTATTTAGGTTGTTAGGTAATGATGTATATGTTTGTCTGTCCGTCCGCCAAAACACTTCACGGGTTCGAGTTCGCCTTGAGGCGAAAACGACGCTAGGCAAACCGGTAACCGACTGGGAGGATGTAGCAGTAGCTGGAGCTGAGCACGTGTATGGGAGGGAGGCAGGGGCGACCCGGTACCCCACCCTGCCCCCGCACGAGCACACCCGAAGGGGTGCCAGGGGAGGGTGCGTAACGCGCGCGTTGGTGTAGAAACGGCGCAGCAAAGGAGAGATGGGACAACCGATAAGAAAACGCAGGCAATCCATTTACCGCTACGAATTGAAAACTTGTTCTGGTCATAATAACACTTAACACTATATAAGAGGATCACCACACTCCGAGCCATTGCACGGGTTTCTCGTGTGGTAGTTGTAGTGAGCGCGCGCAAGGGGTAAGATGGGGAGGGGACTGGCGAGTATGGAAAGGGATGAGGTGAGGAAGGTGGGAGTGGGTACCATGTGACCTCTTCTTCTGTTCTCCTCCCTTGCGTCTGCTCAGTCGGATTTGAGCTCATACAGGGGAGGGAGGCAGAGGGATTGGATCGGGCAAACTAGGTACAGCGATGCGATGAGTAGCGTAGGAGTAGGCAGCAAGGGAAAAGAGAAGGAACTGCTAGCAAAACTGCAAGGTATTGTCACAGCAACGAACTAAGAAGTTGCTTGGATCGTGGTATCGCTCTCTGCTATATAAGACTCCGAGCTATTACACGAGCTGCTCGCTTACAATCTGGATGTGAGCAGGGCGGTAGTAAGAGCAACGGCGGGGGAGTGTCCTATGTTGCGCTAGCTGCTCACATGGTAGTGACCACGTGCACTAGGGTGAGTGGGATATGATGTGGTGAGGAGGTACCAGATGAGTGCGACGATCTCGCGATCAGTATCAGCGACTGCGGCGATAAGGCCTTTATAGATGTGGTAAGAGAAGAAAAGAAATAGACCGCCTTCGGAAATGAACAGAGTAAATTGCATTATCAAATTTGGTAGCGTTTTGATAGTCATAATTTCGATAGTCATAACACCCTTCACAATATAACACAACCATTTAGTGTACTCAGAGTCTTTGCACGGGCTATTCACGGCAGCTGCACGTGACCCTTAGGGTGGCTGAGTGGGGAATGGCTGAGCTTAGATCGGGGATAGGTGCCGTGAATGGGTACCATATTGGCGTGACGCTGATGAAGATTAGAGTAATCGATCGCAGGTAGGACTGTATCAATTTCTGGATATCAGTTGAAAAAGTGACGCGCAATGCACTGACTCCGAGCAGTTACATTCATTCAAAAACCTAACTTTGCAATGGACGGTTTCAACTCATCACATTCTTCACAGCCGACCCAAGAAGATGGAAGGTTGGTTCTCTCACATGAAAATGTTAATCAACATTCTGTGGTTAGAAATCTTTCTGAATATTGAAACTCCTTTTTCTATGGGAGTGATCCCTTCTAAAAGTACACCTAATTTCCAGACTCGAAGGGTTTATGAAAACTTATACTTCTCTTCAGAACAGAGGACTCCCTAGGGCTGCACGTTTGAAAATCCTTTTATATATAATCCGCTATGTGTGTCTGTGTGTGTGTGTGTGTGTGTGTGTGTGTCACGAAATTCATAACTCCTGTCCCAGTAGCAGTGAGACTTTTGTTGTACTCAATACAATGTCATTTGGTATACAATGCGCAGGCTTTGCTTCTTCACCTTCCTCTCACAGGCCAATAATCTTTCAGCCCTAA